AGCAGCAGCACGGGCGACTGGGGGAGGCGAGGAGCCGCAGCCGCCGCCTCGGCACCGCCTCGGCGCCGCCGCCTAATACAGAAAAATCATCTGTGTGAACAGCTTCACCCGCCCAGTCGCACGGGTCGAAGCGCGGCAGCCGGTGCATGGCCGCGAAGGCGCACAAATCGTCCCAGTAGCCGAAGTAGCGGGGCAGGTAGATACGCAAGAGGGCGGGGGGGGCGGCGGCGGTGGCGTTGCCGCCGGGGGAAGCGGCGGCGGTGGCATTGGCAATCTGCTGAGGGGCGGGGGGCGGGGTGAATCGAAAGCGCGATGAGGGGCGAGGTGGTGTTGGCGGGTTGGGGGAGGAAAGGTGCGCATGGGGAGGTGAGAGGTTTGACGGGGCAATGGCAGGCGGGGAGGGTAGCGGCCGGGCAGCACGAATTGCGCAGGTGTGAGGTGGTGGGGCGGGCGGTCCGGAGGGAGGGGCGGCGGCGGCGGGGCGGCGGGGCGGCAGACCCCAGCCAGATCGCACAAACACACACACACACACACACACACACACACGCACACGCACACACACGCACGCACACACACACACACACGCGACACACGCATGCGCACCCACGCCAGCCCCGCCCCGCCCCCTCACCGCGGCGCGCTCCCCCTGGCACGACTCCACGGTACCGCACAGCTTCCACCTGGCTTCCTCCACCAGCCGGAAGCCAGACTGGTCGTGGGTGACCCTCTGGATCATCTCAGGCGCCAGAGCCGCCCAGGCCTGGGCCCAACGGATGGCAGCGGGGGTGGGCAGCACCACATAGTTGCCGCCGTTGACTGCAGGTGCGGGGTGGGGTGGGGGGGCAGGGCAGTGGCGCACACAAGCGCGTGCGCGCGCGCGCGCACACACACACACACACGAGCGCAGACACACTGTGCCGGGGGGGAGGCAGGCAGAGCCATGGGCCACGCAGGCACAGCCAGAGCAAGGGCGCGGGTGTGGAAATGAAGGCCGCCTGAAGAAAGAGCCGGGCGGGGCGCAGGCGGGCAGCCCGCTGCGCCGCGCATGCCACCACCGCAGGCATCCACCCGCCGCTCCTGCTGCCGCCCAGCACGGCTGCCATGCGTGCGTGTGGGGCTCACAGTCTGATGCAGCAAGAGCTGGCAGGAGCTGGCTTGCGCATGCGCTCCCCGCCACCTGGCGCCCACCTGGCAAGAAAGCAAGCAAGACAGAAAGGAAAGAAAGGAAAGAAAAGAAGGAATAAAAGCCCACCTGGCACCTCGGCCTGGAAGGCGCCGTCTGCGCCCGCCTCCTCGATGAACCGCAGGTACGACTGCCACACCGGCTTCACAAAGTACACAATGTCGCTGTCTGCGGGAGGAAAGGGAGAAAAGCAAGGAAGGCAGGCAGAAGAAGGTGAGGGACGGAGGGGAGGCAAGGGAGCGGTGGCGCCGGCTGGCCGCGTAGTGGTGTGGTGTGGCGGGGTGCAGGGCGGTACGCGGTACACGCGTGTGGGGCGCGGCGGCAGTGGCGGCAGCGAGGCAGCAGCATCGAGGCAGGCAGCAGCAAGGCAGCAGCCAGCGAGGTGGCGGCTGCGCAAGGCAGCACCAGCTGGCGCCAGCTGGCGCCAGGTGGCATCCAGCAGGAGCCCCACCCGTGGACAGCACCGCGTATCCGAGTCCCAGCAGGTGCACCAGCAGCGCGGGCCGCAGCCAGCAGACGACCTGCAGGTCGGGGTAGGGTGGGAGCGGGTCTTGGCGCCGGCAGGTGCGGCGCCCGGCTCGCCGCCGCCCGCCTGCCGCTAATTGCCACCCCCCCGCCCGGTGGCAAGGCGCAGCCTGCACGCTTGCCCGCTGAAAACCTTGTGGCTTGCACACTTAAACACACTCAGCACTACTTAAGCGCTTGCGCACCAGGTAGTCGTGAGAATTAAAGGTGCCGGCGTCGGGGGCGTTGTTCATGGGCTCGGGAAGAAAGCGCGCCACGTCGGTGCACTGCGGGGGCAGGGCAGCACCACCCCACCATTTCATTTCATTCCTTTGTTTTATGGTTGGAAAAGAAGCACCCAGGCATTCTGGGCGTCCCGGGCTGGCGCAGCGCGTGTCTGCAGCTGGCGGCGGCAGCCCCGAGGCTGCAAGCACCACCCACCACCGCACACAGCGGGGCCCGCCACCTGCCGCCTGCAGCCCCCAGCTCACCGGCAGGTTGAGGTCGGCGCAGGCGGCCAGGTCTTCGGGGGTCCAGCACCCGACCACGTAGTTGCGCACGCCACCAAACTTGACCATGGAGTAGACTGCAGGGGGGTGGGTGGGTGGGGAGGGGAGGCGGCGGGGCGGGGGAGGCAAGGCACCTCACAAGAGTTGCATGCAGATGCAGCATAGAATATGCTAGGCTACCATGCCAGGGGTGGTGAGCCGATCGCCGGCGGGGCGCAAGGCAGGCGCAGGCTGAGGCGGTGTAGCTCTGCACAGCTGCAGCTTGTACTGCCGCAGCCGTTCTGCAGTGCCCTATTGGTACCGCAGCGCATGTACCGCTGTACTGCTGTACTGCTGTGCCGCTCACTCGAGTTTTGCGTCATGACCGCAAAGCGTTTGTTGAAGGTGAGCAGGGTGAC